ATTTTTACATATTTGGAATGCTGAGAAAATTCTGAGTCAGACAGCATCCTTAAATTGACCTTTTGACGTTTCGTCATCAGAAAATGCATCATCATAAAGATCAATCTAGAATGCTTTGAACTATTTAAGAAAAACGAATTTTGACAATTTTAGACTGCAGGGAATACCTGAATAACAACTTTCTAAGGCAAGTTCCATTTTTCAGGCATTGTGTGAATCCATTAGAAGAAAATAAGATAGTTCAAAGCACTCTAGATTGATCTTTATGATCATGGAGCCTACACAAGGAGCCCGAACTTAATAACTTGTCCACTAAATTGCACAAATTAAGTCTTTTTTTTTCACCACCAGCGGCGCTGATTGTTTATGCGTCCGTATGACGTGAAAATAGTATCGAAAATACATGTGAAGTAAGCAAGTAAGTTTTGACAATTAATTTGCAATAATGTTTTGACATACGAATCGTTTTGTTATTTATGGCTGTACCTTGTAGGTAGATGCTAGGGATGCACCGGAGTTACTGCTCACCTACTGCCTCCGGCCGATCCGGCCTATGCGGCAGCATATCCGGCTCCGGCCAAATTTTTAAACTGATCCGGCAACAACGGCCGGATTGTGGCCGGATTTTTTAAATTAAAAATAAAATATTTTTTCAAATGTTTATTATAAAAAAATATATATTCTTTTACAAGTAACAAACTATTTTTTTAGAAATAATTTAAAAATAGATTAAGGATTAAACTTCATGATTTAAGCGAACATAAGATAACGAAGTCTTTAAGTTATAGTGCAAAAATTAGAGTTGTTCACCTTTCTCGGGAAGAAATCCGCTATGCGCAGTTAACAGGTGATCGTATCTATGCGCACTAAGTAACAGACGCCGTACGTATGCGCAGTGGTTTTCAGATGGTTGTATTATACCTATTATAATTATTGTACCTGTATGTTTTTTAATTGTTATAACTTTTAGATTAGGTATATTAATAAATATTATTTATTTATTTTTATGTTACCTATTTATTATTTTTTTAAACGTTTTATAAAGATATAGGTACTTTTTAATATATTATTGGTTTTAAAAACTTTTATTTATTGATAAATATATATGTTTTTGTTTTTCCCCTAAAATAGCTATTTAACAAACTCATTTGAGTCCGTAAAATAATTCTTTTTTTGTACTAGTACGAAAAAATTGCTATGGAAACTTTTGCAACATGGTTCTTGAACCATTGCAATACAACAATTAAAAATAAAATTCGATAATTGTCACTGACAGTGACTCACTGTCACTGTCAATAACCTTAATTTCGAGAAATATGTATTTACTCTATTTAAAAATATGAATATATGGACCTAGAACAAAAAAATGTTGTTTGCAACATGTACCTAAAAATCATGTTTTTTAGGACGAATCGTAGCTGTTTGCGGTCGAGGCGAAGCCAAAACCAGAACAGCCGATGTTACAAAAATAGCTATAATAATACGTATACGTATATAATACGTATATATAATATGTATAATTATATTACTTTTTAACTAATATAATATGTATATATATATATACATATTATATCAGTTTTAACGCGCCAAAATAACAAGTAGGTACATGACAAAAACCTGGTGTAAAAATAAAAAAGACAATGCGCCACCTAATAATGATTACTTATAAGTTGGGCAGGTACCTAAAATATAAACACTTTTGTGGCGACTGTTTTTTACTGTTACTGAATACATGAATAAAGTGGACTAAGTTATATAAGTAAATCTGTGTATAATTTAAGTATACCATACTTTTATTTATTTATACGACTAGAATGCATGCGTAAAATGAAAGGTCTGTCAATTTTTCTCCTTGTTTTAAAAGACAAATGTTAATTTACTTTACATGTATTGTTGGTTGCCTGTTCGGGAACAGGATCCCCATATACCACATCAACACGTAATTGGTAACTAAGTGCAAGATTTGCATAGTACTGAAACAGAAACTGCACCTGCCTGTGTAAAAACACTAAGATCCGGCCGACTCCGGCTAAATCCGCCAAAATCCGGCCGGAGTTAATCCGGCCGATGACGCCGGATTACTGCATCCGGTAATCCGGCCAAAATCAAATCCGGTGCATCCCTAGTAGATGCTAATGAATAGGTTTTGGTTGTGAAATATAAGTGATTCTTTATAATCTGTGAAGTGATTTTACGACTCTGGAGAAGCAAAATTAGATTTCCAGGTTAGAAATACACCGCTATTTAATAATTTAATTTAAATAAAAAAGTATGTATAAAATGAGTACCTACACAGCATATTTAATAATTTTCACCTTTATTTGTTTATATTGAACTTTTTTTGTTGTTAGTTTTACACGCCACACGACATTCTTTTATAAAAAAACACGTATTTATAAAAAACTGTACTATGCTCTACATCAGAAAGTCCAACATAAATTCCAATGTTAAATTTGATATAAATTTATTGTAAATTAAGACCTTTATACCTACACAAAACCAGGTACATGGGTACATTGTTTTCAGAAAGCGATAAACTGACAGTTGCATAACCTCAACTATTTGCACAATAATAAGTGGTAGGTAGTGGAGCCATCTCTGGTTATACCCCTCTACTGTTTTGGCCAGCGCCCTCTTATCTTAGGAAGATTCTTGTTTACATGAAGTTCGGGCTCCTTGTGTAGGCTCCATGTTTATGATGATGCATTTTCTAATGACGAAACGTCAAAAGGTCAATTTGAGGATGCTGTCTGACTCAGAATTTTCTCACGATTCCAAATATGTAAAAATGTAGAGGGCATTCCATTTAAATCGAAAGTTGGTATCATTTCCGGCGAAACCGGAAGTTCAAAAAATTCATTTTGTACTCTTTTAAGTGGCATTTTATATCTTAATTAACCATGCTAAATTTCATGCGTCTACCTTTATAAATAAAAAAGTTACAGGGGTGCGCCCTTTCTCAGATAGACCCGGTATACATTTTATAAAAAATATTCACTTGTTTATTTTTTCAAACTTTTTAGCAGTGCTTTCTTAAAAAAAATAATCTGCAATGCTAAGTCAATGATTTGTTTTTGTAAATCAATAAAACATTTTTCTAAAATACTTTATTTCTTTTCGCTTTTTCCTTGCTTTCGTGAATTTTAAAATTATTCAGTGAAGGTATCCCAGGGGCAAAAAATGCCACAAAACCAGATGAGTGACTTTAAAATACTGCTTTTTATTTATTAAAAAAAATTTTTTTTTTACTCCCACCTTTAAAACGCCCTTTATCGTACATGTTTCCATGACACTAAGTGACCTTTTAAATACACATTGACAAGTTGTGGCTTTACGGCGCTTTAGTCACGGGCTGAAGTTAGCAACAGGTTTTTAGTCACGGGCTGAAGTTAGTTTTAAGTTAGTTGACAGTTGTCAAATGTCATACAATCGTTAAAATAAAGTGCCTTTCTTACATGTAAAATAATACTAAATGTGAAAATTATTTTATTATCTCAATACAAAAATACAAAAATATTGAATAGTTTCTCAACGCCAATATTTGAAAAGTTTATATGAACATTGTACTGACCTTTTAATTTCGCCGGCAGTTAACTATAACTTAAATTCGGGCACGGACTCTACTGTAAAGTCCTCATAAAACATTTCCTTTATTATAAAAAACTTTGGCGAGCAAAACATACAATTTTTTTATGAAGGTAACTTTCTTAATTTGCTTTATCATAAACAAGATTTTAAAGTCGAAGCGGTATGGAACTTTTTTGCAACTGCGCACGGAAAGGGTGCGTGTGGAATAGGACAAGTTTACAAAACGAAGAAAAAAAAACCAAAAGCTTTTTATAACTGGGCAAAATGTTTTTTAAATTAATTCATTTATAATTTTGCACAACAAATTAATACAAATAGGTAGGTAAGCTTACCATTTTTTTATTTTATAATTTAAATATTATATAAACCCGAAACTACTTCTTACTTTTAAAAATAACTTTCAAGGCCTAAAAGGGTTTAATAGAAAAAAAAATTAAGAATACTGTATAGGGTGTTTAAAAAAATTGTTATAAAATTACGACCCTTGGTAGATTCAGGATCCACTTCAGGAAGCATTACCGTTCCCATATACATAATATATATTAGTATATTCTGTAAAAGTTTGGAATACAGAATATACTATTATATTGTATCAATACATATACGTAACGAAATTTTACTTTTATAAAAATAAACAAATCTTGGCAAATAATTATAGATCTTGTTATGATGACTTAAAATGATGTTTAAATATACTGCTAAAAATATAAATCACATTATCGTGTTTTTAATACGATTTTACTTACTTTCTGTTTCATTTATAAAGTTGAAATTTGTATATTGTTTTTTTCATATTATTTGAAAACAAATGCTAAATAAAAAGATACAACATAAGCAGTGGGTTGCAATATTATTAGGGACAAGTCGCGTTTTTTCAATTTTGAAATTTGAATGGATTTAGTGAAAAAATTACTGACCATTCTTGGGTTTTTTATTTTGTTCCAATAAATATTAACCGTTTTTTAAATTTTAAAAGCATAAAAAGTACTAATGACCAGTAATTATGTTATCCCAATATTTTATCTAATAAGGAACATTAATTAAAATACCTTTGCAATACTTAATAGAAGTGTCTATCTTATAAACAAATCCACAACAATGAATGTTTGACAATGTTCCATAAAATAAACAATGACATAACACATTGTGCAAAAGTGAAAAGTAATGTTTTTAAGACGTTATCACCAAATGATACGAATCGTGAATTAATCGTGGCGGCCATATTGAAAATCAACCTAACGTTTCTTGAGTGACAACTATTGAATATTAATTATTATTATTATTATACAATAGCGACGGGACTAAAATTACAGCTAGGTGCATTTAGGTAGTGATAAGTGAAATCTGCGCTACTGGCTCAAAGCCAGGAAAATAAAGCGACGGCATCGGGACGCTTTTTCGAGCGTCAGTCACTAAAATACACACACCAGAGGCGTCCGTCCGTTCATTCATACGCTTTCGTAATTCAAAGTCAAAGGTGTCAGTATCGGTACAGTTTGGGGGCTCAAACCAGTGTACAACAGTGTCCGTAATGAGTCACGATGGTCGGTGAAGTTGCCATAGGTCATGGAGCGGAACCCCCCAAGAACGTCGGCGCCCAGACCGAGGGTGCGCGAAGGCAGATCGGTCAACTTTAGGGATTGGGAGAAGCAGGGAGAAGTTCTCTCCAATTGGAATAATGGTCAGTACTAAATAGCCCAAGACCTATTTTAATTTTAAGGAAGGATAATCCCTCATTTATGCAAAAAGTAAAAAAACGATTAATTAGTTTTTTATTTATTTTTTATTTCTTCTACAAAACAGAAGGTAAAATGCACTCGATTTATTTAATTAATTAACCAATCTTACTTATAACTTAATAATTATTAAAATTTATTTAATATTTTATACGTGGCAACGTACAAACTTATTGTTGTATAAAAAAAAATCACAAAAGACAATTTGTACGTTTGATTTCAAATGCAACAATTTTGTTTACTAAAGTAGCTTCATTGAAAAAAACAATAATAAATGTTGATCAAAAACTAAAATTTAAAGTTGGCAATATCTTTGTTTTATAATGAATTTTAAATTTATATGTATTGTGCCTTTTTCTACGATAATAAAGATTATTATTGAGTCATTTCATATGAAAACGTCCAAATCGTTATAATTTGCTAATTTGTGCGATTTTTAGATGGACCCTACGCCAACCCTACTAATTTTGGAGAGCGGATTTTTTTAGGAATTAATATTTATACCTATAATAGAATAGGAGAGACCGGGGCTAAATGGGGACTAACCACAGACCTACAAACAAGATGGACTGGCCTTTCCTATTCAAAATACACAATGTTTTGTTGCCAAGAACTATTTAGATTAGGGGTAAAGGGGTAAGGGGTATTTATAAACAAGTTCCCACACCAGTGGCGTTCTGTTTTTAGGGATAAATAAAAATATTAAATTGTACATTTTTTATTTTGTTTTGCAATCCTATGTAAAAATTATATTTAATATATATAAATATATAGGTATAACAAAATACTAACCTTGTCAGTTAGTGTTCCAGATGATGTAGAATCTGGCTCTTTAAATCTAAAATTTAAGTGAATTCATTTATTTATTCAGTTTCTACGCTCCTGGCAGGGTTTGTTTTGTAAATAAACTAACCTATGAAAAGAAAGTTTTAAATTCTTGGATCCAAGTCTTTTACAAACGTAGCACTGCTTCACCATTTTTATATCACTCACTATTGGTATTTTTCACTATAAAATCAAATAAAAAATATTAAATGTTGTGGATTCCAAGTATCTTTTACGTAAAATATAGAAACTTCAAAGTCAAATGTGACAGCTGAGGGAAAATATTTATTTTTGTTCCTGGCCACTCTTTTCAATGTAAATAAACCGGTCCATCTTGTTTGTAGGTCTGTGGGACTAACGTTTAAACATTATTTTTAGTATTATTATTATTTTTTTCGAATTTGTACTCCGTCTCTACCCTATAGGGTAAAAAACAGAATGATTTATAAATCGTTCTGCTTTTTTTGAATTATAAATATATAATAATATTTTAAAGTATTATAAGCAAAATACAAAAAAAAAACATAAATGCTTAACAATTTTTTTTATTATCGTATTAAAAAAAGTGTCCTTTACTACTTTCCCCCCGCCTACGGGGCAGAAGGGGGTTATCGGGCTTACACAATTCACAGTTCTGCATCGTCGTAATCACTCTCTATCCCCGAACACGAATTTTGAGCCCACTTTTGGCTGCATAAAATCCAACCCTCAAATGAATCTGAAAATGGGTATATACAATATATATCTCGAAAAGTTATAAAACTAAACAAAATTTCACCAAGTTTAGTCTAAAACACACTAAAACGTTTGTAGTAACCCGTTTGTCATTACCAACTGACGTGTTGGCCTTCTAGTAAATGATAACAAAGGACGATAGTACTATCGATCGTCTGCAGCGGGAAATTTAAATAAACACCGTTCTGCCCCGGTACCCCGTTCTACCCCAGTCCCCCCTACGTAAACTTTGTTTTAAGTTCTTAAACTTTTATTTTCTTTGAGAAAAAAATCTTAAAATTCAAAAAATTTCAAAATTAGCTTACTTTTCCCAACCATTGGGTAGAGAAAAAAATTACAATTTGAAACATTTATCTTTTTGAGTTTTGATTTAAGTTTATATGGTTGCCAGAACTGTCAATAATATTTAAAAAATGCATTATAGCATCAACTTATATTACTAAACTGCTAACGCCCTATCTTTATGTATAAAATTATTCTGGACCGATTTTGATGAGATTTGTGTGTGTTTGAGTGGGTCCCTGGATGGTTTATATTCACAATCGGGTTTAAGCCAACATTCGGACAGGACAACGTCTGTCGGGTCCGCTATTGTATATAAAAATTAATTGGAAAAGGGGGTGCTGAGGGTTTATCAATCCGGCGTTTCTCGAAATGGTGCTACATAATTCACGATTTTGTCACTTAAAGTAATAATAAAGGAACTAATCCAATGGATTCCTTAGAAAATGCAGTTTTTAAAAAGCACCAGTTCGCCACTTGTCTATTTTTATTATGTGGTTTATTATATATGGTCATGGTAAAATATTCTGCAGGCTTAGTGCAGGCGATTTTTTTTTCCAACTTACGTCCTAATTTTGTTTCTAAATAATGAATATGAAAAGAATTATTTTATTAACCAACAGAACTTTTTTAAACTGTTTTAAATTTAAGATCAACCGTTTGGTCTTTAACATTTAAAATATGATTATTATAATTAACAATGCTGTTTTAGAAAAACCGTTCAGGTTTTTCTATGAATAACATAATGAGATGACGTCCAAGTTAAATTCGGGATTTCTTTGCTATTTAGAGTAAATCGACAGGGTTTGGCTAAATCCGTATGCATTTAACTAATTAACGACATCGACGGGCACCAGCCCAATTTGGAATCTCGGATGTAGGAGTTAGTGGGAAAACTTTTGGTAAATTTTAATTTAATAAGATTAGTTATTTGTGTCATAAGGCTGAGAAGTGGGTCTTTTTGTGCGACGCTTAAAGTGTTAATGCCGACGCGTAGCGGATGCCTACAATTGAGTGAAGCACAAAAATACACTTCTCAGCCGCATGGGATACAACATTTTATTTGTTTTTTTTTTTTTTATTTTATTTGTTAAATAATACATAAAACGTATAATTATAATAATTATTTAAAGTAGAAAAAGGTTAGATTAGATCTGGCAGTTGTTTGATTGGTCCAAACGGGTTTTTACAGGCTAAATTTGAGAAACAAAAAAGGATCATGTTGATAGCTTAAAAATTGATTATTTAGATATTTTTTTATGGAAAGCTCATAAGCGAGCTTGTGAAATACAAAATAAAAAATTGGCTATTAAAACAAATATAACTTTGTTCTTGATAATTCAGGGTTGCCACTTACCTGGAAAACCTGGAAATATCAGGGAATTTAAATTTTTTAGAAATGTCAGGGAAATGCCAGTGAATTGGCAAAAAAATCTACAAAGTCAGGGAATTCCTAAGTTGGTCAGGGAATTGGTTATTTATAAATAAAACTGGTCAACAAAAATTAAAAAAATTATGTTAACTAGTGTAATTTAAATTTAATGTATTCAAAATAGGGCAGCGCTATTATAATTATAATTATATTATAATATGTCCAACTTATTACTATAACCTTAGAAGTCTATATCACGACGTATCACTATAGCCTTTTAAGACTATAACCAACTATTTTATGTTTATAAACCCTATAGGGTGATTATTATTTGTTTATTTTGTAAATGGTAAGCATACTTAATAAACTAATTAATTAATCAGTAAAAGCATAATTAATAAATTAATTAATTAATCAGTAAAAGACTTTGAAAAATCATAGTTCCTGTTGATAAAAAACCGTTTCAAGCCAAATGTTTGATTTGCAAGCAGTCATAGGCCACATAAAAAGTGCGGGCCATTAAAAAAGGATTTCGGCAACGAAGAACACAAATTTGTCACATTTTCTTAAAAAAAAAGAACCAGATGGAAAATACTACTCTAAAAATGAATTAGTTAAAAATGACTAATTGTCATAGCGAAAAAGCAGCCACTAATAATTCTAGTCAACAGCAATTTGTATCCCGGATATTTAGCAGTCAATTCCTATGTAAAATTGTCTGCTGAATCCGAATATGTCGTCAAAAGTTATAAAAGTAGGACAGTTTTTAAGATTTATTCAATTTTCCATATAATATGGAATTGACTATATCTCAAAAACTGCTATGACGGTCTTTTCGGATTCAGGGGACAATTTTACATGAGAATTGGCTGACTGCAGTGAATTAGTCAAAAATGACATATTTCAAAGTGAAAAAGCATTCATTGTGAAATATGTCATTTTTGACTAATTCTTTTTAGAGAGTAGGCTTGAAAAAGTTACAGTTTTACATGATAATAATATTAATAATAATATTGCTTTAGAAAATAACCAGAATGAATCAATTTCTTTAATAAAAACTCCTGCAAAAAATGATAAAAGAAATAAAATATTTTTTTGTACTATTAAATATTAACTGAACTCATCAACTTGATAAACAAGACCTGTCTAAGACAAAATTTCAGAGACATTTTTAAAAATTTCATTATTTCTGTTATTTTCAGATTGAACAGAAAATTAATGTAATAAAAACCCAAGAAATAAAAACCTAAATTAAAAATTGTCCCGAAAAAATTAGCTACCGAAAATTTTTTGTTTGTTTTTTTTTTAATAAGAAGTATTGATTTTTTGTTAATGTTTTTGAATTTTATAAACTTCAATAAAAGTTTAGTTTTTTAATTAATCGTTATAATTCTCCACCAAGAGAAAAATAAATTCAAGTAGTACATAAGCACCGAAGGTGCTTTGATTTTTTTGTATATTTATAATGATAAGCTTTACTTACTTTTGCTGACAAAAGGAAGAGGGGGTTAAAAATTACAAAATTACTGCTTTTTAAAGTCCAGTTGAAAAAATCATTGAGGATCAGGAAACCAAAAAGAAAACACATTTTGTCTGGAAAAAAATCAGGGAAGGTCAGGGAATTCCTGGAAAAGTCAGGGAATTTGGTTTAGACAAATCGGTGGCAACCCTGTAATTGTGCTGTAAAAAAAATCTGACATTATTTGTAATGTGTTTGATGCCTTATGTAAA